TCTCTGATGAGCTGGAGAGAATGATTTGCAAAGCACGGCCACCGAGTTTCTTCTTGAAGGCGATGGACTTCTGCAAGGCATCCGTGGGTTCTTGCTTCACATGCACCTCATACAAAACTGAAGAACGATTGTCCCGAAAGCGTGTTTTAAATGTTGCGCGGTAGCTGGTTTAGGCTGTGATGTGGCATGTGACAGGCACAGATTATGCTTTCATTCGATTAAGGTTTTGACGAGCCATAAACCGGCAAAGGGCCGGAATGAAAGTTTCGGTAGGAGACAACGACTTCGCCGTGTCCTTTTCCTCTGTCATGGCCGACGCTGCTGCTGCGGTCGTTGGTGCAGCGTTGGAAGATGCGAGCAGGGAGCTGGACGATTTCACAGACCGGAGCTTCTTCGTGGGTGGTTGAGTTGACTCAGGGGTGTCCTCGAAGTAGTAGTGAGTGGTACTGCCAAAAATCCCTGTCAAAGGAGGGCGGACCTCACTGAGGTACTTCTTCCCAGTGGAGAATTCTTTGCCGGTCACCGTGTAGCAGAGGGGCACTTCTTCTCCGTCGAGGGCCGCCTGAAGAAGATTCAAACTCCACTGCGTGTCCTCTGCATGATTTGGTGGGAGTTGTTGCAGGTGGCCCTTCAGGTAAGCGGACAGTGTAGGCCTTGCTGCGAGAGAGACTACCCCAAAATCTTTGTCGCGCCAGGCGACGCGCTTGATGGGGTCGCGGTGTGTGCCGGGCGAGCGAACATAGATGCCCATGTCAGTGAAGACTATCCTGACCGAGCGCTTGAAGACACCCATCAGGTCTTCCTCGTCAAAGTCCTTGTGGAAAGAAGGTCTGACAAGCTTGTAAAAGGCTTCGAAGGACACTGTGTCGCTGTTGGTCTGGGGCGGCAAGGCGGGCTTCGTAGGGTTGGAGCAGACGACGAAGAGCTGGTTCTTCTCGTACGAAGAAGCGTTCCAGCGGGCCATAGTTTTCCTGTCAAAGCCCGTCACTTCTGTGACAGCTTTGACCGAGGCCGGAGACTCCAAATTGAAATTGCCGTCGTCGAAGACTCTCGGCTTTGTGGGGCGGCCTCTCTCCTTTCGGAAATAATCCAGGTGGTTGCAGCTTTGGAATGACGGCGTCTCATTTTCACGACCCTTCTGAAGGAGCCAGAATGCAGAAGCCAAATTCGTCAAGGTGTAGGCCGTCGGGCTCTTGCCGACCTCTGACTTGCCAATGAGAATGACCGCGTGCTCCAGGATGCGAGGCAAAATGGGAGCGAAGATTGTGTTGAGGGCCCACGGGGTAAAGCTCTTCAGGGTGAGGGGCCAATCTCGGACAGTGTTTGCCTGCGAGCCTTTGTCAGCAAGGCAGTGCAGGAACTCCTTGATGGTTCCCTTGTCCCATTTGAAAAGCGGCCCATTGGGATCATTCACCTGCTCTTCAGTCCAAGAAGTGAATTGACCGTCGCTGTTCTCTGCCGGCCCTGCTTCACGGATGAAGGCAAACCCCTTCCGAATGTCCTCTGTCTCTTTACCGGTTTGGTGGAGCTACCGGCTGGAATGAGCTTTTGGTAGCGGACCTGGAAACCGCCCATCGCCTCGAGAAGATACTGCAGACCACGGCCGCCCTCTCGGTAGTGCTTGCAGTAGTCGATCTCGAGGGCCCTCCCTGTGCACATGCTGCGGATGGTGCTGTGCAAAATTTTTGTTCCTTCAGCGAACTTAATGTGCTTGACGATATCCCACTTGTTTTCTCCTTTGGGAACGATGAAAACCTGCATGTCGTAGGGCGTTTCGTTTTGACCGTTCATACAGATAGGATGTGGGAGATCACTGTAACATTGTTATAGAAACAACTCTTCGATCTTCTTGAAGTCCAATTCACCCTCCCAGCTCATGAGTACATCGAGGATCTGTACCTTTTTTTTCAACTCATCGGTGATCTCATTCTTGGCCGGGAGATCTCCGACCGTGATGCAGCCCGGCTCATTTGTGTACAACGATGGGCTTCTCCAAGCGAACAAGTTTGAGGCCATCAAAAACTGTTCACCTTCAGGTGGTCTGCCTGCTCAATGGGGCTTTCAATACTGATATGTAAGGACGAAATAATTAGGAGGAACGGGGGTCCGTCAGGGCATCATCGACTGCCAGCCACGGCCGAAGATGGCACAAATGGCCTGCTCATCGCAAAAATTGCGCCAGGCCTGAGACACCATGCAGAGTAGCTGTTAGCATGTTAATTGACCATACTCGTCCCGTGAAAATTTGTTGTCAAAAAAACATGCCCAGCCTTTTGGATCTTGCGGGCGGCCGCCTGCCACTTAAGTCAGCGCTGGCGATGCGGAAATGCCCCCCCCTCCCATTCTAAACACAACCATATTTAGGGTTCTGAACCTTGTGGGGAGGACCCGGAATGTGTACCCCGTAGCCCCCCCACCCCCCAAGCCGATCAGTGTCCAGTCGCCAACGTTGGGTGTAAGGGGGGGGAACCTTACAAAGGTCTAGATGTGTTGCTCAGGTTTTTTTGACCAGGAATGGGTACCCCTCCCTGGCCGATCACGGTGTCCAGCCACGGATGATGCGCCGGGACCAGGGGGAATCTTAACTCCCGCCACTGGCTCCGATTCAAACGCCGTGAACCCTATGGCCCCTCGTGAACCCTCGGTACCCTAAAGGAGCTTTTCTGATATATATATATATATTTGGTAACCCCCCCCTATTGACCAACCTCCATTATATTGTGATTGCAGGGGGAGGAGAGGCGAGGAAGCAAATTCATAACAACACCAAGCAGTAGATATCACAAAACTAAACTAAAAAGCGTAACAAAGTTGGATTTCGAATTGTGTGCTCAACCAAAAACCAAAAAAACAAATCTCCAGGCCTATGTTCCCGAATGCGGTGATCAAAGAATCCAAAAAACCAAGAAAACCAAAAAAAAAAAAAACCAAAAAAAACAAAATCTAGGACACTATGGTCCGGAACATAGTTGTGATTTTTATTTGGGTTTCTTGGGTTTTTTGGTTAGTGCCGTACCTGATCTGTAAAACTTTTGGTTTCTTTGGCTTTGGTTTTAATTTACGTAGTTTTCGTTATTGTTTTGTGACATATCTTCTGTATTTATGCGGCAGGCGTATAGCATACTCAAATTTGCTTCCTGTCCCCTTGCGAGTACATACTCTATATTAATATGCCACGTATACATTAGTATATTGGTATAGTTAGAAAAGTGGTATGTCGGTACATCGGTGTATGAAAATACTGATTCTTTAGTACATCGTCAAGCCCACGAGGTGGTATTTCATTTCAGTAAGATGTATATTCGTATACAGTAGTATGTGTATACATGTATTTTCTAGTCTTAATTATATATGATTAATATTTGTATGAATATGATTCTGATTATTGTATTAGCTTTTTATCTGTGTTAATATCACTGTTAATATCAGTATTGAAAAATCATTAACATTGTCATAAGTAGTAAGAATAGAAAATCAAAATTTGAGCATTAATATATGTAGGAATATAGGAAGATTAATACTTCTTATATTGCCAAAAGGATTGGTAGTAATATTTGTATCAGTATGCATACAGGTATTAATTGCCCGAGAAATATGAATATCATTGGTAGTTTTCGTAGGAGCACAATTATTCCTAGTATTAACATTACTATGAGTTTAAGTATACGTAAGAGTATTAGTATTGAAAAAGCAATGATAGTATTTTTTTAATATTCAAACTAAAGCTAAAATTAATACGGATATGAATACGAATATGTCTTAGTAAGAGTTAGTACTAATATGAATATGAATACTAATGCATTTCTATTATGCAGAATAAGAATATGAGTATTAGTATTCAGAGGAGTAGTACTTACATTAATGTATGTATTTGTATTGATATCAGCATTAGTATGTATATTGGTTTGAGTATTAACAGTACTACATATTTTTGATATAAGTAATAAGAAAATAGTATTAGCATCAATATGTATATTGGTATTCATATTTCTGGTCATATGAATACGATTGCTAGTATTTGTAGGAACACAAACATTTATAGCATTAACTATTAGCATTCATATGCGTATAAGTGTTCGTGAGAGTATCAGTATTCATTAAAACCAGTATTCGTGTAAGTATTAGTAATATCTATTTTTAATATTAGTATTCAGATTAATACTGATATGATTACGAAAAGGTTTATTCGTAGGAGTAATATCTGTCTGGAAAGAAATGTTGGTAAGAACTAATGCTAATATTAATATACATACTAACAGTAATAGGAGTACGAAGTTTTAATGTATGAATATTATGCATAAGAACAGTAAGAATATCTTTACTCGCAGGAGTACTACATGCATTAGTATATGTACCCGCATTGGTACAGGCATTAGTATGCAAATTTTTTATGGATATTAATATGGCTAATAAGAATACGATTGTAAGCAGCCGTAGGGTCATTCGTATTCACACTAGAATTAGTTTTGCTATTGATGCTAGTATTAACATTAATATATTGCTAATATTAATAAATTAATACCAATAGTAGCTTTACTGGTAGTACTATTATGAGTATTCACATTCGTGAGTCAGTGAAAGTATTAGTATTCAGAGTTGGTCAATAGGGGGGGGGGCTAGCATATATTTATATATGTAATATGTACACATAACTTCTACAGTGAAAACATATATATACACACACACACGTATACACCTATACACATACATACACTTACACACATACATACGTACATATGTATGTTCATACACACATAGTCCATGCCACGCATACATACTTCCATAAACTTACATGCATAATTACATGCAGGCATGTGCATGCAGACACTTGATGTCATGCCTGCACCCTTACTCACGTTGTTTTTATATGCGCACAGCTGTGTTCTGCACAACATCAGCCGGCGACAAAAGAGCCACAACAAAAGAATCGTCAGCAGCAGCAACAGCAGCAGGGTAGAACTCTGCAACACTGCCAAGATCGCGAATCATTCCTGGACGTCCTGGTCCTGCTCGTGAAGCCTTTCACGCAAGGCCTGCATCTCAGTGTTCGCCTGCAAAGCAGGCCAGGTCGGTACTACACCAAGCTCTGCTCGGCTGTCATTGCATCTATACTTGTAGTGCTACAGTAGGGGTTCCTGGCGGGCTGAAGGGTTGCAATAAGGTTACTACAGAGGCCTAATATGGGGTTGCTATGTATCCGATTTCTTATAGGTCTTGTCTACAAACTCGCGCATTTTCTAAACAAAAAAACGACTGGAGATTCCCGACACCCTCCACAAATCATGGGCGGGTCTCTTCGACCTGCAGCAGCTGGGCTGCCAGGAAAGCATTCTCCTTCTGGAGCCTGGCAGCTGAACCCCGGCCCGGAGCCCTTTCAGCGGTTTCAAGGTCTGGGGCCCCTGGGGCCTAGGGCTTAGATTCTTTACGCAGCTTCTGCCCATGTCGCAGAAAAGCTGCACGACAGATTTGCGGCAATCAGCACACTACTAATCAGATGCCTGCTGTCTTGGGTCCATCGGCACCAGCCACTACCCAGAAAGCGGTCACAGCGACCAAAGTAGCAGGGCTCACAACGCCCCAGCTGAACAAGAGGCAAGCGCAAGTCAAACGATTCGAAGTACTTCCGCCTGGTTATCAACGTCTGAGCATGGTCTATCAGCGTTCGAATCACAAGACAAAAAATCACCCAAAAACCAAACCCTACTCCCCAGCTCAAGAAAGCGAAACCGTAACCCTGGACTCCGAAAACCCGAGCTGGCTTGCTGTGGCATAGCACTACCCGTCTTGGAACTCAGCCTGCTCAAATCGGTCTGGGCTGTAGACTTTGCAGCCTGCCATGTGCCGTTGATAAGAGCACTTCTTCTCGGGGTGTTGGGGGTTCAAGGCCAAGGCCTCGGGTTGACGATTACAAGACCTTCGACAGACCCCGATAATCCCCGACGTGTACAAACACCTGAACACCTCTACAACCTGTAATTTCGGCTCCCGTGGAAGTTGGAGAGCGTGGCCCCGCCTCACAGTGCTCGAGCTCTTGTGAAAGTTGTCGTACTCTTTTTGTTCTCCATAGGTTTGGTTTTCATGGAAATCTGAGCAGGGGCTTGCGAAGATTCGATTGGTACACCGGCAGTCTCGACGGGTGTGCAGCTCACCTGTCCCTGGAGCGCTGCCAGCTAACCCCTGAACCACAAAGCCCTGAAGTTCGGGTCCTGGACACGGTCCACTAGCTGGGAGACTTGTTCGTTGCTCGGGGCAGGGCTGCATCGGCAACCTGAAACTCCAAACCCTAAACCCCAGGCCCCAAACCTAAACGACCTAAAGCATCCAGCTTCTATTTTCCCACGTCCGTGGAAGAGAAGCAGGACATGCAAATCCCACGAAACCTGCCACAGTCACAAGCAGCCGGTACAAGCTGTCAGCCCTGCTGTTCCGGTAAAAGTGTGGATGCACGCCTGGTCAGGTTCTTCACTTCGATGTCTTGTCATCATTCCAGCCAGTACTAGTCGTGGTGGCATGGCCGCAGCGCTGCTTGCAGTGGTGACAGCGCTGCAAGTGCTTAGTGTACCAGGAATTGGTCGGTAATGCTCAGACTCACAATGCCAGTGACAAACTTGCGATGTTACAAGTCAACCGAAAAACAACCAGGAAGCGGGCGCCTGGCCACTGTCGAAGGAGTCGATCTCACTTAGTGGGATCAGGCCTCGTGGCAGTTGCAACACCCTGAACCCTAACCCTATGGTAAACTACCATAACCTACTTTTTTGTGTAGGTTCTTGTTGCAGGTTGAGAATTTAGAGGGACCATACCAAAAAGTTGGCTTTGTTAATTCACGGTAGCCTTTCCATGGCTTACAATTCGAAAGATCCCTGGACCGCCGTGCCTTGAGCCACGAGAGATCCGAATAGTCATCCCTTTGGTGCTGCTTCTCTGAGTCATGATGGAAGCCATGTTTAGAACAACTACTTAACCAACCAAACCCCCCAAACCCTCAATGACACTCAAAGCCGAAATCCCAAACCCGTCAACACTCTTGACCCAACTCTGCTGACAGGGAACAAACGCCAGTTGGGTGAGCTTCTGCCTGACGCAAACAGAAGGCTTGGGGATTGCAGGGTCCAGAATCTACAGTGTTTTGATGTGGTCGCGGGTGTGACAGGTTTTTCGTAACCTGACGCCATAGCCCGGACATCGAAACCTAGCACCCCAGAGCATCTAGAACCAGGTTCCATCCTGCTTCGAATGCCCCTTAGCCTCAGAGATGTGGTATATCAAAAACCATACTATGGCAGCATAAGAAAACTTGGCATTTCTGGGCTGATCATCCTGGAAGCAACCCGAAGAAACGTTGAACTCAATCGAAGCACCCAAAGAAGATCGGGGAGGATCTGGAGAAGCAGACAAAAACCTCGGGCCGCCGGCTTCTGAATAGTAGAAGAAGTGCTGGCAATGCTGGCAGCCAACGATTTCGCTGTTTCCACTGCTCTCTCAAAACAGTAGTAAAGCTTGCTTATGATCTCCGATGGCTTTGGATCCTTGGGCAATATGTGCCACGTGTTGGACAAAGCTCCAAAGCCAGGCGAATCGCTCGGGCCTCTTGCATGGCGAGCCTTGGCGACTCGGCGGGGTTGCAAGTCGTGTCTTCCATATCGGTGGGGCGTACATCTAACGCGAAAGGACGGGTCCGGGTATAGCTTTAGAGCCCTTCCGCCACCAAAGCCCGGTCTTCAAAGTGGGAGATCTGGGCCTAACATCATTGCCTAACCTGGAACAACACAATGAATCTTCAAAGTCGTCAGTGATGGACTTAGATGATTCGGTCCTCCAGCCGAAGTTCGCGCAGTTGTGCGTCGGTGCTGCTTGCATGAAGAAAAGATCGGGAATTCGATCCATATGATTGCATATGATGCTTGAGGCATGCTGGACGAGCTAACAACCTGTGCCTGTGCCGAAACATGGCCGGACCGTGTTGAATCCTGCGAGGTTGCCTTTTGAAGCACCCACAATGTGTACACCTACTGTAGTCTTCGGGTGTCATAAGTCGCAAAGTGTTCGGATGCCTCCGGCAGCTGTGAACTCAGTGCAGCACGGCCTGTTTTGCAATTACAAGTATCGCGGCCAACTTCCGGCTAAACCCTGAGTTTCCAGCTGCCTGGTTCGCTTTCCGACGACCTTGAGCAGCGAACCTGTGGACCAGGGCTTTGATGTTGGTGGTCTACGGTTCAGGGCTTATAGGGTCATGCATTTAGGGATTGAGGTATAATCTTATGATAGAGCCATTAGGACTAAACTGCCAGTGTGGCACCCATCTGACTCAACCGTGTACACGTCGCGACTCAACTGCTAGAGCAACTCACCGTAGCGGTCATGGGAACAAGTTCCCACTGCAGAGGGGTAGACGCATCACTTCGCCCAGGCATGTCTGCTACTTGCCATGCACCCCGGCCAGGGCTACTGCACTTAATGAGGAGCCAGCATGCTTGCAGGTGTAGATCTGACCATCATGAAATGAACCCTGATCCAAGCCCAAAGCCCTGGCCATCATAGCCTCTTGCACAACGGGACTGGCCTTCACGAGGCTTCAGCGGCTCGGACACCTGAAAGCAGAGGCACGGGCGGTTTCAAAGATCGCTGGACAAAGTTCGGCCCGATGCCAAGGGGCCGCCTTTGTGCATCCAGCGCTTGGAGCGCAGCCCATGCCAACTCCTTCATTCAGGGTACCTGCAACAAGGCCGAGCTAAACCCTAAACAGAAGACTAAATATGATTACGCTTGTCTATTGGTGCAGCAACAGCCGTCGCATGCAGACACGGACGGATTCGCGCAAGCAGAGACGCACGGATTCGACATGAACCTGGAGGATTTTGAAAGTCACGCTGGAAGCTCACGGCAACGCATGACGGGCTAAAACGGCGAGAATCTTCAAGAATAGCCACTCATGCGCACAGCACATGTAGCAGCATACGCCTTTGGCAGCTGCGCCAGTCAGTGCCATTTTCGCTATAGCTTTCTTGGCCTCAGCTTTTGGTTGTTCACATGTTGTGCGATTTCCAGCCAGACGACAGATCAAGTGACACCTCAACCCCAAAACGCCCGGCACGACTTGGAGGTCTACATGGTCAAACACGTGGTGCATTGGCATGGTAAACATATCACGTGGGGAACAAAAGGGTGCCCGTCCTACCTGTGCAAACAACCTGAAGGCTTGCGCCATATCTTTTTCTGCTAGATCAGCCCTGACAACATGGCCCTAGTTAGGGAAACGGATCACCCTGGTTCTGACAACTGCAAACAGCCGCCGATTTGGTTGCAGGCAGGACGCACATCACTGATGTTTCAGGTTTCAGGGCACACCTAAGGACCTGAAATCGCGGGCAATGCAGAAAGTCTGTGAGCCCGAGCCCGAACCTCCAACCTCAACTTCCTGCCCTCCGAGCTGCTTTTGCCTTCGCCTTTGCGGCCAGTATGGCCTGTCCGAGTTTGTAACGTTTGTTGCTTGGGTTGCTGTCGGGATGCAAAGTCTGTGGCGCTGGAACCTCTTCCTCCAAAATGCCAGAATGGTTTGAACTTGGCAGCAACTTGGCATGAGGAAAGTAAGCAGATTCCTCGTGCTTAATCTCCCGAACATCCAGATCGTAATGGAACCCTGTCTCTTCCCAAAAGTGCATGCCTGAATGACGCCCGTAGTGAGGCCCATGGTGGATGCAAAGATCGCAGATGACTGGGGTTTAGAAGTTCAGTTGTTTCCGGTGCAGTTGCATACAGTTGCCTCTAAGGTTCGTGACAAGACTCCGCCCCACAGCATACAGCAGATTATGCATACTGCATGCATGGTTTGCAACATTCTCGGCTAGGAGTTTGCTTGCGGCTTTGAGGGACCGGGCTTTGAAACTTAGGAACTACGAACCCAGGATGCAAAGACTAGAAAGCCAGGAGTTGGAGGGCCCTTAGTATAGGACTCGGTCCGGTTCGCAGGTGCTACGGCATCGCACGTCGAAGTGCTCTGAGCCACGTTGCATGCGGCGTTGCAGAGTCACATGGATTCAATCGGATTCCTGTCACACGCTTCCTCGCTACCGACAAGGCCCCGCTTGCGTCGAACTCGAGTAGACTGGACAACCAACTTCAGATACCGGAAATCTTTCCAGGTCGGGCAAAGTACATGGGACAACATGTAGACCCTGCTGCCACTCTAAAAAGGGACCTGCGTTGCGATTAGGACATTTAGCAGGGCCATGATTTAGCCAATGGGCTCTCGGCCGATTTTGAGGTCCTCGACCCAGAAGAAGCATCACGGTGGCACAGTTGACCAAACCATTGGCTCAAGTGAGATGCTCCGGATCAGGTCCAAGACAAAGGAAGAACAAAGAGGCTTCCGAGTTTTGGGGCAAAAAGGCGAAAGGTGGGAGCCCAATGAGCCGCCTCCGTGCAAGGCATTTGCGTGTGTGGACTGCAGTGGATTCATCGCCCGTGGCGCTGACCTGTGCAACGCCCCGCTAGTGCTGCTGGTTTCTGGGAGGCCGAGCCAGAGGTGCACGCTAGGAGGCAGCGCCTGGTGCTCGATAAAGCCTACCGCTACCTCGTAGACCAGGGGTCTGGAACCCTAGAGTTAGCCTCGCTAGACTTAGAGGAATCCTCCGCTATGGCGCGCCAGCTGGCTACTGAGCTGAACCTCACCTATGGTGACTGGCTAGCGGAAGCGGTCTACTGCTGGATGCAAGAGGCCAGGGAGGAAGCTAAGATCTTTCAGAGAGCGCACGGCTACTACAGCGGCGATTTGGCTTGGATGTCGCTAATGCCGCCGGTGGAGGTGCACGCTACCACCGGGGTGGGCCTTGAGCCGGCCTACGCCCCAGAGCTACCGCCGCCGAAGGGTGAGCACAATCTGAAGCTAATCAGGATGGCTACATCGTTGAGGCTAGAGAAGAGCGGCTACTTGACATTTGGTGTCGAAGGCTAAGGGAAGAGCTGCCACTGACCACAACTAACGGGAATTACATGGTGAAGCCCGATGAATCGCCGATTAAGCCGGCTTCAAATCGTCTTCAAACAGCATCCCAGTATTGGGCAAGTGTATTTGAGGCCCAACAAGACATTGAAACGAAATTAGGTGGAACATTTATCAGAACGGATAAGTTAGAAATATTTAAAAGACTGAGGCAACAGTGAATGATTATGAAATGTGTGAAATGCCTAAATGGGAAGTTGACGACCCCAGAGCCCCAGAGAGTGCACAGCGATTGAGGTGGGCAAGTAGTGAGAAATAGTGAATATTGAAATGGTCAAGTGAATAAGACTGCCAGTAATTTCTGGGTCTGATGTTGAATGAAATGAATGAAGAGACATACTTAAGCAATATGGAGACGGGATACTGGAACGTGAGAGGTGGCACGCCCTGAAATCCCCCTTTGGAATATTTTTTGGGGGGGGCACAAGCTCGGCCGGTTTGGGGTTTCGGCTACAGACCCCGTAGACGGTAGACCCATTCATTCAAAGCTGTTCCATGCATGGACGCCGTGGTGCTTGTCCGGGTCGCTGTCTTCTTGCTCCTATACGATTCGGGCTTCGTCAAGGGAAGGACGATGTCTGTAAGATGTAGGAAACGGCTCCAAATGCAAGCTGTGGAAGCCTGTGGGTCCGTGCCCCAAAGACTCCAAGCTAGGACTCTAACCCCACGCGTCCGCAACTCCCAGGTGAAGGCTAGCTCACAAGGACTGACGCCCTTGCACGTTACAGTCTGTAGGTTGTGTAGACCACCCACAAGACTCCATCTTAAATCCTGATTCTTACGTTCGCACTTCTTGTTCGCTTTGAAAGCTCACAACTCCCCGGGCAGATGCAGCACAGGTTTTGCATCATATTTGCGAATCACAGTGTGAGTCAAAGCAAAGGCCGCACACGTGCAGCCCATGCAAAAGTTCACAGCCAGCCGACTGATACTGTGGCAAAGCCTGTAGTCTTGCCACGTCTGCAGCAGCGGACGGCAAGAGGCTAGATGCCTTGGGGGTCGCAAGGAGAGCCTGCAACGCTAGCAAGAGATCCGGCAGCATCTCATCATGCAGTCAAAAATTCATCAGCAAGTAGACTTCCTCCAGCTGTTCGGTCTCCAACATGGAGACCATGTAGCGGATCCGTCTGAGCCCGACCTTTCGACGCTCCCTAATGTCAGCGACCACCCCGGCAATGAGCATTCGTTTCACACTGCACGAGGAGCAGCGGAAGAACAACCAAACAGACTGGTACGCAGCTTCGCGTACCTGAGCATTGTCGTCGTGGCACTGTCCCTGCAATCGAGCCAGGAGATGGCGGACACGCGTTTGGTCAAGAAAGCTGGTACCGCTTTCGTAGGCCATTTGGCGATGGCACCACGCCTGACCTCATGTCTGAGACTCTGCCGCAGCCCCAAAGACTGACTAACAAAACTGACGCAGTCTTGCAGGCGAGTGTCCAAGATCTTCTTGGTCTCTGCGCCCGCACCGTGAAGTAATGCCCGGAGACTGGAGCTGAGACAGCAGGATCTCTTTCATCTTCTTTGAGGCGCACTTCTGAACGACGGTGGCAAGGTCATGGCCGCAGAGCAAGCCTGTGTGCACACTTCAACTCGCGGCACACTGGGCCATGGACAAATGCGTAGAAGTGGCTTCTCAAAGGCAGTCTGGGTGAGATGTTGGACCACAGCCTGGTCATGGGCTGAAGGCGCAAGGCAGCTCATGGCAGCTCTGCTGTGCTGCTGTGACGCCTGGTTAGACACGGCCTCAGATATTCTGTTGGCCGTGGTCCGAGATGACGTCTGCATCAACATCACCAACTCCTGTACCTATCCACTCTCGGGGCTGATGTCGAGAGTGTCACTTTGCAACTTCGTACAGGGCATGTGAGTTTCACTGGAACCCGGCCTCCAGTAAGTCATACAGAGCTGGCCTGAGCTGCATTTGACTTCGTGCGTGCTGAACAGCTCTCGGGACCCGAGCTGCCCTGGTCCGGCCGATTCAAAGCGCCGCAGATCTGGGCCAAGTAGCAGCGGCAGGCTGATCAGGACCGGGTCTTCCGGTCCCTCCTCGCGAAACAGGCGAAGCAGCTAACAACGGAAACCTGAGGAAGCCTGCTGGCCTCTACGCTGCCGCCGTCGCTCAAGAACGATCCGAACCAGCTCGCCAAAGAAGTCGGAGCAGGAACTGGGGAAGCTGCCTGCCTCGGATCTGGGCCCCTACAAGCTACTGACGACTCCGAGCATCCACCCAGTTGAGGCGGTCAAGATCGACCAAGCAGCAATAGGATCGAAACGTCCCAGCCCATGGCCACCGTGTGCACATCCGTATCTCCCAAATCATCATGTTCGGACCTTTCAGCAATTTGCCAAATCTTCGCAAAGAGCAAACTCTCGTTGGGGTCGCTGGGCTCGTTGGACTCATGACTCTTGGGAGTTCCCAGCGCTCTTCTGACACCGTGGCCAATGTTGCGAGGTCTCATGCGGAGTCACTGAACATCTTTTACTCATGCAATGTGATGCCCTGAGCACCGGACATCGATTGCACATCCGATACGTCTCCATCAACCTCTAACCGTGAGTCCTCTGCATCCAGCTCATCAAGGTCAGCCTGCCCACTTCTGCACTTCACCTTTTCCTTGCGGCCTAGCACATGTGGCAGCGCTCACATCACACTGCCTCTGGGGACCCTTCCGTGGCATCAGCAACGGCAGCATTCTGTGGCCTTAGTGCGGAATGAAGAATTCCTGCAGCTGCACTTCGGGGTAACACTACAGTGAGGTCGTATTGGAAGGGAGAGACATTCGCAAGCAAGAAGATCGACCTGACTGTTGTGTTGTAGGAAAGCGTCGTTGCGGCCATTGCGAAAGACGCCTCCAGTGTCTGCGGAGCATGGTCAGCATCCATACTGTGTTCCTGTCCAGCATCCAGGTCACTCTCCTGGACGAGACAAGCGCAGATAGGCACTTGATGGGCAAACGTGTGCGTCCAGAGTCCTGCGACTTCGTGGATGGCGTGTTTGTGCTGAGGCTCGGCCTCCCGGAAGACGACGACATCCTTATCAGAGCTGGCAGATTCCACAAGAAGACGACTGGTATGATTTGTCAGCTCCCACTTTGTATCCCTCACAGGCAGGCAGCTCACGACAGACCCAACTCCTGCAAAGAGCATGCTGGATTCCCCAGCCCGGAAATCAGCTAAAGCGGCTGCTGTGCCAATATCTGAGCCAGCTTATCAAGGCAACCGACAAGGGGTGAGCTCACTAGCATCATGGGCTACCGTATATCGGAGGAACCTCCGAACCCCAACCCCCCTCAACCCAAAACCCTCAACCTCAAGCCCTGAAGGCTGAAGCCTAGGCCAGGCACCCCGTGAAGCCGAACCCGTGAAAGCCCCACTGCTCCACGCCCTATGTCTTTTGCGGAAACTGTTTGACCTGGTTTTTGACTGTCGCGCAGGCTACTCTGCCAGCGAACTTCAGCGCGGCTACTTTGGGCACGGCTGACGACACACAAATGTTGCTTGATGGGGCTGGCTGGCCCATGAGGTGCCAACAACACTTACGGCGTTACGACATACGTCGCAAAAATAATAGGAAGATGAAGAACAGTGACACAAGCAAACGTAACTATCAATAGCAATAACTTATTAATAACAATAGTAACAATATAGCCATGATGAGAATTTTGGTAATGATACTTAGGATGACACACGTCACTCTTGATCTGGGGAGAATTCTCTCTGTGATGTTCACTGGCACTTGACGGCTGCAGTTGTTCTGCAGAACCGGGATTAACCCATCTCCCCTAGCGTTCGTTCGCCTCAGCCGGCTTGAGTCTCGGCCAGGCGAGGCAGTCTCTGCGGCCTCCCATGACCACCCAGGAAACAGCAGACAAAAGCCACATCTGTCTCCGTGGCTCATGAACGGCAGAGGTCCGCACAGGTAGCACGCAAGCTGAACCATGGCCTTCACATCAGTCCTGTGGCCAGGAAGGCGTCCCTCTTCGCCATCAAGTAACGGAAGACCTGCAAGAACAGCCGCAGCAAGGTTATCAAAATTGTCGTTTGAATCCACCGAGCTCTTGACGGTTGTGGCACGAGGGTCCTCGTTCTTGTCCGGGTGCCATTGCAAGATGAGATTCTGGGCACCGGAGAGGACATAGCATGCCCATTCTGGATCCTGCATGCCGGGCTGCCCCCTGGCCTTGAAGACCCGTCGGCGCTCCTCGATATCCTGGTCACTCAGGGCTCAGGCTTCAAGCTTTCTGTCGAAACTTTGTGGCTCTTGATGGGAGATT